GGTTTCTGAGGCAGTATCACTAGGAAGTAGATTGCCCCATCTTCCTTCCAAGGAGTGGCTGGTGGGTTTGAACCACCAGCCTTCTGGTTAGCAATCAAGTGCCTTAGGCACTATGCTATAAGGTTATTTAATCAATCATCTTCTCTTTCTCAATCCAGGTGCCAAAGGTGATCAAGGCCCACCCGGTCCACCTGGGCCCCAAGGTCCTCCAGGTCCTCCAGGACCACCTGGAAGCAGAAGATCCAAAGGCCCACGGCCGCCAAACATGTTTAATGGCCAGTGCACAGGTCACTAATCCCTGCCCCAGAGAACTCACCTCTTCCACTAACAATCCCAAACTTGGGCTGCACTCCAGGCTTTGTGACCAGATTTTTAAAAACAGAGTGAAGAGATTTTGTCCAAAGTGAGAGTTACCTTACAACATGATCATGGGAGATCAGAGAAGTCTGCAAAGGAGGTCTTGGGGCATGCTGAGAACTGGGCTTCCCACCACTTTATTATCCCTCCTCTTTCATTTATCTCTGGACTATCCTCTTCCTAGTTCAGATCCACCAATCTCCAAGTCTCTACACAATCTTTAAGGCTAAGCTATTAAACTTCTTGCAGTGATACACTTTTGGCAGTATGAAGGGCTGCACTGATACTCAAGGACATGATGGGGAAGTTCAGCTCTGTTAAATAACTCACTCAGTTAATGTACTCAGTTGCTAACTAAAAAGCTAATTAGAAATCAAGGGACTGTATATGTAGAAATGGAGTCCCTTGGGTGTGCAAATTGTTAAGTGCTGGACTACTAACCGAAAAGTTAGTGGTTCAAGCCCACTCAGAGGCAGCTTGGAAGACAGGCCTGGCAATCTGCTTCCAAAAGTCACTACCTTGAAAATCCTGTAGTGCAGTTCTACTCTGTGCACTTAGGGTTGTCATGAATTGGAATCAATTCAGTGGTAACAAACAACAACATTAATAGAAATACTTCTTGGGGTGATGCTAGAACTTCTTCCCAATAGAAGTGGCCTAGTAGCCATTCACCTTAGACCATGGGGTACAACTTGATGCCCTCAGTTCAATGGCAAACAGAAGAGAATCCCAGCTGGAATTTCTCTCATGGATTTATCTGGCACCTTCCTAAACAGTCTTTAGTTCTGTTGGTTCACTGTTCTTTCTAGCAGACATTTTGGGGTCGTGAAATTGGCTGTCAGTGAGTGAAATCTGTGCTTTCAAAGATGTCACCCACCCCCCACTCCCCAGTAAATGGAGCCTGATTATAATTCTGCCCGCAGTAAACACAATGTTAAATCATACAAATCTGCTCCTCCCCCTCTATTAGCATCAGCCCCTTTGTTCAGCTTCCCTTAGAGAAAGCTGAGCAGGGACACTCCCCTGAGAAGAGTCTGACCTAAGCCTCTGTGGAGTTCTAAATTGCCAAATACTCTGTCAGCCAGCAACGATTGGTGCCTGCAGAAGCACTCTACTCTGCTCAGCGTATCCACTAAGAGGCTGGGTCAGCAGGGGTTAAGGCCCGAGTTGGGAAAACTGCTTTAAATGAGAGGCCATTATCTTCCACTCTGCTACTAGAAATGAGTCCTCAGTTGCCAGGCTTTCTGCATCTGAACTTGGCCCTCTCTTCTGCTTCAATTCCTTTAACCCTATCCTCTCCTGTCCCCACAGCCATAGAGGCAGGTTGGTACAACGGGAATTAATGAGAGCCTTTCTTCAGAATGAGAACAGGAGTTTTCTATGTTCCTCTCTTGTGCAAAGCCCAAGGTCATAAGTGTGGAGTCTGAGGATACTCCAGATGAAACCCAGAGGCAGCAGGACTGCATACAGACCCAATACCGATTTCATCAGGCATCAGGTCTCCAGAGAAACACAGGTTCATACAGCTAGAAGGAAGCTGAGAGATCATGTAGGATTCAGCCCCCTGATTTTATTGACAAAGAAACACCTGCAGATTATTCTATGAGTTTCTGCATCAACAATGCCGATGCTATCCTTTTTTGTCTAGCAAACATAAGGCAGGAGCTCTGCAGGCATACTGCCTTAAGGCACTTGACTGCTAACCAGAAGTCTGGTGGTTCAAACCTACCAGGCACTCCTTGGAAGGAAGATTGGGCAATCTACTTCCATAGAGATACCGCCTGGAAAACCCAAGGAGGGGTTGCTATGAGTCGGAAACAACTCAATGAAAGTGAGTTTGGTTTTTTGGTTTACTTATAAGGTGATTTGACCCCTCAGAATTGGTCTTGGGTGGGGCCTATTCCCAGAAAGCCAGAGTCCTGTTTCAGTCCATGCCTCTGCCCCAGTCCACTCTACTCCTTTCATCTTCTCAGTAGCCATGATCCTCTTTTCCTCCTGCCACCTTGAGGCACCTCTTCACCAAAGGGCTGAATTAAGCTCATTCATCAAGAGGAACATTGGCAAGCCAAGGATGACAAGTTACAGCATAAGGAGGAAGGAGGTGCAGCCTCAAACCTACCATGGATTAGCCAGCCCCTCAGTTATCTGTGCCCTTCTAGGTCTTCAAACAGAGACCCAAGGGGGAAAATGGCAGTGAGGAGACTCAAACGTCTCCAACTTTGTCCACCTCTAGGTTCCTTCTCCCTCTGAGGTTCTGGGATGCCTCTCTTAGCACCTCTCACAATCATGGAGGTCAGAGCCACCCCATTTCTGAGGCTGCTCCCTCACACCTCTCCATCAACTTCTCTGAAAGTGAAAATTCTTCCAGAACAATGTCATCTGTAATAATGATTCCACCTGCCCAGAGAGGTTAGATAGGTGTCAGCAGGTCTCTCTTTCCCCAAGATTGCTGAGGGCTTGAATGGGCCACTTTTCCCCTTTTACTGATATCCTTTTGGAATTGCATTATTCTAGAAACTGAGGTCACAGAAAGCTTCTTGGGAATGCACCAAGTAGGGGGAAAAAAAACTAGAAGCATGTGACTTAGTGTTGCTTAAAACCTGGTAGGCCTAGTGGGATGGGTGCTAAGGAGTTAGAGTGTGGAATGAGGTGGAAGAAAGCACCAGTTATAAAGTTACACTATTTCATTGTGCTGACTGCATTTGCTCTGGTTATTACTGTCATTTTAGGTGAGACATGTGCTATACCAAATGATGATACCCTAGTTGGAAAAGCTGATGAGAAAGTCAATGAACACCATTCCCCACAAGCAGGTACAGAAACAAGCACTATTTTTGAAATTCAGAAATCAGATACCTTAAAGTCATAATTGGCAGGTGAGTGACCTTCCTTTCTCTTCTTTTGGCAGAATCCATAATCACTTCCATTGGAAATTCAACACAAGTATATAAAGTTAAGGAGACATTTGGGACCTGGATAAGAGAGTCTGCTAACAAGAGTGATGAACGGATTTGGGTGATTAAACATTTTTCAGGTACTACCACTTGGCAAGTGACTCAAATCTGTGTTGTATTTTTCATCTGTTGCCTACCTTCAGGCTTATTCTTTGTGTCTAAAATTGCTACCAATTGGTTTAATAGAATTGGTCTTTATCTGAGAATGCATAAATGAATGGACATCATATTTTTCTTGGTTAAATACTCTGGTGGAAAGCCTTGCAGTTCACATCACAGGGTCATGACTAGAGCATCCCTAGTGCAGCTTTTCCAGTTTTAGGCAAAGTACCCAGAAAGGAGATCTGCTTGCACAGTGGTTAAAGCATTCAGCAGTTAGAACTCACCAGCCACTCTGCTGGAGAAAGATGAGGCAGTTTGCCTTTCATAAAGATTTACAGCATTGGAAACTTTATGGGACAGTTTTACTCTGTACTATAGGGTCACTGTGAGTTGGGATTGACAATGGCAGTGGGTTTTTGGGTATATCCAGAAGGAAACAAATAGCATTATGACTACAGGTCTTATGCATCCCAAAGCCAAAGTGTGGAAGAGATATCAGAGACAAATTCTTACATGTACTGTCCATCTAAGACTGGCCCATTCTCAGGAGAATCCTTTTGGCCATCCTTGTCAGAGTTGGATGGAGAGCGCAGGGAAGGAATGAAATGCCATTGTGCAGTCACACGGCATCTAAGCATGACCCGAGTCATGCTACTCCCAAAATGATGTGGTTAGTTAGGAATCACTGATGGTAGCAGAAGTGGCCTCATTCCAGAAAGGGTCAGGCAAAACTGACTGGACAGAGATTAGGCTCAGTGGCAATAGCTGAGATGTGCATCTTCATTCCATCAAGACTAATTCTGATCAGCTGGTAGCAACTGCTCAGATGACTGGCTGAAAAGGATTTTGAGGCTCAAAGGGAAAGTAATGTTGTGAATTAATAGTGGCTACCATGGAGTGCATTCGGCTGCTAACCAAAATGTCAGTTGTTCAAACCCACCAGCCACTCCACGGGAGAAAAGGAGACAGCCTGCTTCTGAAAGATTTACGATCTTGGAAACTCTATATGGCAGTTCTACTGTGCCCTATAGGGTCACTATGAGCTGGAATTGATTCAGTGGCAGTGGGTTTTGGCTGTGGAGTGCAGGAGACAGGAAGTGATTGCACAAATGCCAAGTATTTGCTATCCCTGTATAGGCTGTGTCGTTTCTGGTAGAAAGCAATGTAGAGTGAGGTGGGGCGGGGGTGATACACAGTTCTTTTGAGAGGAGCAAAGCAAATGTCATTTGAACATTTCAGGTATCCACAGACAAGAACAGGACTTTGAGTTTGGCAGTCAGATCCTTCAAACTGGTTTAGGGCCCTTACAGGGCATCTCACTCTTAACTGCTATCCTTTTAAGTTTGTCCCTTTGACTCATTCCCAGGCTGTGATTGCTGGGTAGAAGGTAACAGTCTTTTCCTGGCTTCTCTCCTCCAGGTATCTTGGTGAAGGAATTCAAAGACTGGCCCTCACTTTTGAATAACAGTTACACGTCCATCCAACTCCCGCATTATTTCCAAGGCTGTGGGCATACTGTTTATAACAACTCTCTCTACTACCACAAAGCAGGCTACAACACCATAGTGAGGTGAGTCACTCTGGACCACAGCACGCTGCCTCTGAGTCCCGCAGAGCCCTCTGAGCTACTCAGAGTTAGGGACTGTGTTTTCATCATCATTGTATCCCCAGGGCATGGCACACAGCTAGAGACCAGTTGGGGTTTGTTAACCAAATGAGTGCCAAGACACGCCCCGTTGGGGGTCTGCATGGATTGCTGGTGGTAGGGACCAAGAGTAAGGGCAGAACCAGGAAGAAGTTTGGAGTGGTAAGAGGCTGTACTTTTCTCATCCTTTGAGAAAGGAAGCTGCCAAAACCCAGAACTTCCTCTGGCAGGAAAAGTATTGCTCCCTGAGATCAGTTTTATTGAGAAAAACTTTGGGTATGGAGAGTTTCATGCCACAACTGGGACCACTGAAGGTCTGAAATTGCAACCCAACAACAGGCAGCTCTCCCTTCAGTGATCTGTCATCCTGATGGCACCCCCACTGGGCCACCACTCCTCTTCCTTGCCAAAGGGACAGGACAGGGTCACCTGGCTAGACCGTGTCCAGGGCAGGAGTCAGACTTGTCTGGTTCCCCACAAGAATTGCTGAAGTTTTGTTTTTATGACTCAAGAAATCAAGCTCTGACCCAAGAAACAGTTCATCATGGACAAATCAAAAGTTCATGCTTGCATGTGTATGGCAGGGGAAGGAGGAGTGCCAGGGATATAGTCGAGACAGCGATGAACTGAGAGCCAAGACAACCAGCTTCTGGTTCCAACTGTTCCACTTACTCACTCTGTGGCCTTGGACAAGGGTCATCACCTCCTGGGACCTCCATGTCCTCAACTAAATTCTAAAAAGATGGGGTAGAGTCTCTGAGTCCTTCCCACTCTATCCTTCTCTGAAATCCTAATTCCAGAGTTATAAAATCCATGGTCCCAGTCATTCAAAATAAAACACAATGACCTTGAGGGAAGACTCGGTCCCCTTTCTCTTTCTTCTTCATCCTCCCTCTGCCCTTAGTGAGGTCCAACTTTAACTACCTCTTAGGCATTTGACTGCTTAGGTTAGGATGGAGAGGAGTTTCCTAGTGTAATGTGCAATTAGATCAGCTACATTAGACATAGGTGTCAGCTGTGGCTGGAAGCTTCCAGTACTTTGCTTCTCATTCCTCTCTGCCCAACTCCCCCATCATCTCTGCATCTCCCTTACCACCTCATTCGGGCAGAGTCTTGTGCTAGTAGAATAGGACAACTGATCCACCTCCTGTACTAGTTCAGGAAGTCATTATTCCCATGACACGTGACTTTTCTCCTCATTTAATACTGTGAAATCCTGCATCACGTAAAATAGGCCATTGTTGCATGGGAGTAGAAAGGTAACAGGGAAAAGCCACCGGTGAATGAGCTCCAGGAAGAGGATTGGCTGTTCTAAGAAAGGGTATCTGCCAATGAAGCTAAGTTTGTACACATTGGAGTATACAACATGCCAAACACATTGGCACCTTGGTGAGAAAACCTATATTGAACCCATGCTACATGCCAGGCCACAGGCTGGGAGCTGAGGGAAAGGCAGACCTGGATTAGACCCTATTCCTGCTAGGAAGGATAAGCCTCATCCAGGAGAGCAGCTAGGTGCCAGTACCAGACAAGGGCCAAATGTTGTTAGGTGTTGTTGATGCAATTGTGACTTACAGCTACCCAGTGTACAACAGAATGAAACACTTCCCAGCCCTGTGCCATGCCATGCCTTCCAACCTGAGGGGCTGGCTCGTCTGCAGGCACTTTATCAGACAGTGTTTCCCTGCCATTCGTAAGGTTTTCAATGGCCAGTTTTTTTCTAGAAGTAGACTTGGCCATCCTTCTTAGCCTATCTTAGTCTGGAAACTCTGCTGACTCCTGTCCGCCGTGGGTGACCCTGCTGGTATTTGAAATACCAGTGGTATAGTTTCCAACATCATAGCAGCACGCAAGCCACCACAGTAAAACAAACTGACAGGCAAGCAGTGGGAGGGCCGAATTGTAGTACTAAATTGCGAGCATTCAGATAATTCTTGTGAGCTGAGATGGGCAAGCAGGGCCTTCCCAAGTCCTCACTTTTCTGTAGTTTGTTTTCAAACTTACTTCAGAATTTCTTAATATACTTCAGGTTTGTTAAGCTCAAATGCATAGCCATAGCTTCACACATTTCACATTTCTTGTGCTACTCAATGGCACCCTCTGGTGTCTCAATCTCCAAAAAAAACAAACTCACTGCCATCAATTCCAACCCATTGGGTTTCCAAGTCTGTAAATCTTTATGGAAGCAGACATCTTCCTCAGAGCAGCTGGTGGGTTCAAATTACCTACCTTTTAGTTACCAGCCGAAAGCCCTAACCACTACACTTCCAGGGCTCCTTTCCCTTAGTCTCTCAAAAACCAAACCAATGTCACTGCCATCAAGTTGATTCCAACTCATAGCGACCCCCATTGAGTTTTCACATCTGTAAATCTTCATGGAAGCAGACTACCTCATCTTTCTTCTGCAGAGCAACTGGTAGGTTCGAACCACTGACCTTTTGGTTTAGTAGCCAAATGCCTCTAAATTTTCACTCCTGTGTATTTCCTGAGGAGCTCTGGTGGTACAATGGTCAAAGTATTCAGCTGCTAACCAAATGGTGGGCGGTTCAAACCCACCAGCCACTCCATGGGAGAAAGATGAGGCAGTCTGCTTCTGGAAAGATTTACTACTTTGGAAACCCTATGGGGTAGTTCTACTCTGTCTTATAGGGTTGCTTTGAGTCAGAATCGACTCAATGGCAGTGGGCTTTTTTTTTTTTTTTCTTGTTGTGATTTGGGTGAAGGTTTACAGAGCAAATTCATTTTCCATACAGTAGTTCATACACATTTTGTTTCATGACATTGATTTTAATCCTCATAATGTAATAGCTCTCTTCCACTTCCTCCCTGTGTCCTTTTCTGTGTGTCCTTCTTTCCTATGCATTCCTGACCCTGAGCTATCTCCCTGCATAAATACCACCCTTCTGATCTCCCATGGTTGACTGTTCTAAGGGATATACTACCTGGTGTAAATGTTCACCTTATATGACTGTTGTTTGGCTGGAAGCCACAGGAGTGAGTTCATTTCCAGGCCCAAAGGGTAAATATGGCCCATAGTCTCAGTGGTTTCGCCAGGGTGGTGGGTTTGAACCATCCACCATTTGGTTAGCAGCTGAATGCTTTGACCATTGTACCACAAGAGCTCTTCAGGAAATACACAGGAATGAAAATTCAGAGGCATTTGGCTACTAAACCAAAAGGTCCATGGTTCGAACCTACCAGCTACTCTGCAGAGAAAGATGAGGCAGCCTGCTTCCATAAAGATTTACAGACTTGGAAACTTAATGGGGGTCGCTATGAGTTGGAACCAACTCGATGGCAGTGACATTGGTTCGGTTTTTGAGAGACTAAGCAAAAGGAGCCCTGAAAGTATAGTGGTAGGGCTTTGGGCTAGTAACTAAAAGCCTGGTCTTTTTTATGATTTTGAGTTTTGTTCCACATATTTCTCCTAGTCTGTCCAGGATCTCCTGTTTTGAACCCCTTCCAAGTAGTTGACAGGGGTAGCCAGGCACCATCTAGTTTTTCTGGTCCTAGGGTCCTGTAGGCTGAGGGAACCCACTGGTCCCTTGGACTAAATGTTCCCATTTGTCTTTGGTTTTCTTCATTCATCTTTTCTATGGACAAGGAGAAACCAATTGTTGATCTTAATTTTGGGGGTACCTCTTGAATCATAATTTGGAGTTTGCCAATTCAGACAGCCTCCAGGATCTAAGAAGCATGAGATTCCATACTGTAGCTTAATTGCTACAGCCACGTACCTGACAAGAAAATTAACTTCACAGCCATGACTTTTCTGCCTCTGCTACTCCTCTCCTTGGGGTGACTTTTTCTTAATTTAGCAAGCTGTGAAATTATTTTCTTTCAATTTCAGCATGGAGGAAAAAAAAAAAAAAACCAAAGTTGGAATTAGAAGACCTAAATTTACTCTGGTTCTGGCACTTACCCGTATTTCTGAGCCAGTCACTTTCCTTTTTCATTTTTAAAATCAAAGGGTTGAATTAGATGATTGTTTAAGGCCACTTGCAGCTCTAAGAATCTTTGAGGAGGGATTTGAGTAGGTCAGCAATCACCTGAGGATTAATGAGGTAATTTGCCCAGAGACACACAGTTAGTAAGTGGGGACACTTAGATGTGAATTTATGACTCCAGAGTATTCTCTTTAATGCCACTATTGCCTCTGTTTCTTCTGTTCTGTTCTGAACAATTTAACAAGCTAAGCACTGTTCTTTATATCGTTCTTGCTCAAGAGTATTGTTGAGCAACCAGTAGAAAATGCATTACCTAGGCGGCATAGTGCCTAAGGCATTTGACTGCTAACCAGGTGGCTGGTGGTTCAAACCCCGACCAGCCACTCCTTGGAAGGAAGATTGGGCACTCTACTTCCGCAGTGATACCGCTTCAGAAACCCAAGGAGGGGTTGCTATGACTTCACAATCTGACTCAACAGCAGTGAGTTTGGCTTTTTTTTTTTTTTTTTGAGGAGCTTCTTTGGTAGCATAGTGGCTAAGGCACTTGACTGCTAACCAGAAGGCTGGTGGTTCAAACCCACCAGCCACTCCTCAAAAGGAAGATGGGGCACTCTACTTCCCTAGTGACTGCCTCGGCAACCCAAGGAGGGGTCGCTATGAGTCGGGTCTGACTCAATGGCACCTAACAACAGCAACCCCAAACCCAAAAACAAAACCCATTGCCCTGAATCAAAACTGACTCACAGTGATCTGGGAGGCCCCACCTTACTAAATCAGAATCTGCATTTTAAGAAGATCCATGGGTGATTTGCATGCTTATTAAAGTTTGAGAAGCACAGCTCTGTACAAACCCATCTGCCCATGCATTCTTGTGCAGTTTCCCATTTTCTTCTGTCAGTTGTCTTATAAAGAAATAAAGATTTCTTTATATGATTAATAAGATTTCAATATGTGGGTACATGGAAAAAGGAGTCCATGTACCCACATACTGGCCATTTCCAGTGTTCTGCCTTTCTTTGTGTAAATCCAAGTTTCCCTTTGGTATTATTTCCCTTCAGCTTGAAGAAGTTTTACATTTCTTGTAGCACAGTTCAGCTGTTGCTGGATATAGAATTCCAGGTTGACAGGTTTTTCCCTTTAATAGTTTAACGTATTATTCCATTATCTTCTGGCCTCTGTTGCTACTGAGGAAAAGTCAGTCACTGTTCTTATCATTGTTCCCCTATATGTAATCTGTTTCTTTATTCTCTCTGGCTGCTTTTAAGATTGTCTCCTTATTTCTTCTTTTCCCTGTGTTTATCCTGCTTTTAGTTTGTTGAGCTTCTCATATCTGTGGTTGATGTTTTCTTTTAAAAATAAAATTTGAGAAATTTGGAGCCACTATGTCTTTAAATAGGAGCTCTGGTGGCATAGTGCCTGAGGCATTTGACAGCTAACTGGAAGGCTGATGGTTCAAATCCACCAGCCACTTCTCGGAAGGTAGGTTGGGCAATCTACTTCCATAGTGATGCTGCCTTAGAAACCCAAGGAGGGGTCGCTATGAGTCAGATCTGACTCCACAGTAGTGTGTTACATTGTGTTATGTCTTTAAATGGGAGCTCTGGTGGCGTAGTGCCTAAGGCATTTGACTGCTAACCAGAAGTCTGGTGGTTCAAACCCACCAGCCACTCCTGGGAAGGAAGATTGGGCAATCTACTTCCATAGAGATACTGCCTCAGAAACCCAAGGAGGGGTCGCTGTGAGTTGCATCTGACTCGACGGCAGTGAGGTTTTTTTTTTTTTTTTTTTTGGTTATGTCTTTAAATAAGGAGCTCTGGTGGTGTAGTGGATAAAACATTTGGCTGCTAACCAGATGGTCAGCAGTTCAAACCCACCAGCTGCTCCGCGGAAGGAAGATGGGGCTCACTATTTCCATAAAGATTCAGAGCCTCGGAAACCGAATGAGGGTCATTAAGAGTTGGAATTGACTCGATAGTAGTGAGGTTTTTTATATATTTTTTAAATGTCTTTAAATATATATTTTTTTATGTTCTAATCTCTCTCTCCTTTCTAGCACTCAAAATACACATGTATTAGGCTGCTTGATATTGTCTCCAAGTCACCATTTCTCTTGGCTATCTTCAGATTTTTTACCCTTCTTTTGCAGTCTCCAATATACTGTTAAATTTGTCCATTTTTTAAATTTCACGTAGTTTACTTTTCAGTTCAAGACTTTTATTTGGTTCTTTTTTATAGTTTGCATTTCTTTGATGATATTATGTCCATCCCTTTTAAATTACTGACTGCATTTATAATTGTTTTAAAATCCTTGTTTGACAATTCAATGTGTCATCTCTGGGTGTGTTATATTCAATGTTTTATCTTCTGGACATGCATGCCACTTTCCTGCTTATTCATGTCTAGTAATTTTACATTGTGAGCTGGATTTGTGATGCAACACATTTGATAGTTTGGATTTTGTTCTCTTCCTTTAAAGAGGAAGTCATTTTCTTTATTAGGGTAGGTTGAGAGTAACCTATTCCTAGGTAGGTGGGGTCTCAACTGAATACCAAGGGTATTCAATGAGGTCTTCTATCCTGGCTGGTCAGAACTACAGCATCTCAGCACTCTGCAACCACTGGGGTCTCTATTCAGCTCTTCCAGTTCCTCAGTCGTTTCCCTACGAGGCATTTTAGAGTCTCACTGTATATATGCAGCTTAGTGTTCAGCCAAATACTTAAGGGGACCCTATGAAGATATATGAAGAGGACCCTATGAAGAGGTGAGTAGTTGCAACACAGACCATAAGGTCCACTCTTTCTACATGCAGCCACCTTTTCTCCCATACTGTGCTCCATAAATCTTAGCCACCTCAGTAGCTCTAAATTCCAATCTCTGCTTCTTGTCTAGTGAGACTGCTGTTCTGTACTGGGGCTCCAATTTCCAGTGCTGTGATTTGGAAAGAGCTCCCAGGCAGAAAGTCAGAGTCATTTTGGAGCTCACTTTATGTAACTGCTTTATCTGCACTATTGTCCAATGCTTGAAAGTCAGTTCATCTGTTTTGTCCAGTTTTACAGTTACTCCTGGCCATCCCCTACCCATTACTAGATCATGGCTGGAACAGCTCTGTTTTGGGAAGTGACTCATACAGTAAAACTAAGACCATATCCTAGAGGCAGACAGAGAAACAGGCTTGCTTGGAGTAGCTTGCTGGCCCTACTAAAATCTCCACACAATTGTTTGAGACTTTGCTCAAAATGGCACCAAGTTTTCTGATTCAAACGTGTTTTCTCATAAATGCAATCCTATCCTGATAATGACAGTTGAATAGTTTCAACAAGTTTTCTCATGGGAAAAGGTTCAACCAAGAATATTGTCTATAAAAATTTCCTAGACTATTTTGTCTATAAAAATAGTCACTCATATCCACTTTTTCAAATGTTTTTCAGATTTGAATTTGGCAAAGAAATATCTGAAACTCTGAAGATTGAAAATGCTTTGTATTTTGATAGAAAATACCTCTTTGCAAATTCCAAGACTTACTTCAACTTGGCTGTAGATGAAAAGGGTCTTTGGATTATCTATGCTTCAAGCGTGGATGGCTCGAGCATCCTTGTAGCACAACTGGATGAAAGAACATTCTCTGTGGTCCAACACATCAATACCACGTACCCCAAATCCAAGGCCGGCAATGCCTTCATTGCCAGAGGGATCCTCTATGTCACAGACACCAAAGATATGAGTATAACATTTGCTTTTGATTTGTTAGGAGGGAAACAGATCAATGCAAACTTAAATTTAAGAACTTCCCAGTCTGTTCTTGCCATGCTATCATACAATATGAGAGACCAGCATTTATATTCGTGGGAAGATGGCCACTTAATGCTTTATCCTGTGCAGTTTTTGTCAGCTGCAGTAAAGCAATGATGTGATGCTGTAACCCTTGATAAATTTCAGATGTTCTCTGGTAACATTTCTATCCCAGCAGAAATCTTATCTTTAAGGTTAGCCAGTTATTTAGAATACTATGACATGAATGTTTATATGGCCAGTGAACCCCTTTAAATTCAGATTCCTTAGTGAAAATGAGCAATGGATTGGAAGTCAACATGGCTGAAGTTTGGCTACTCCTCCACATACCAGCTGGACAAGTCACTCCTCCCTCTTTGGGCCTCAGTTTCCCCATGGGTAATATGAAAGGGCTGGCTAAGATGATTGGTAATATTTCCTCTACCTGTAGGAAATGCAGTGATTCTTGGCTGTTCTACACTCACAACTTTTATGCACTTGGTTTCTGTGATTCGTTTTTTAACTACATGCAAGTTTACCCTGAAGTTGATAAGCCTGGTTGTTTGAGCAATGAATTTGTCAGTGATGACTTATGTTGGTTCCTTGGGAACTTGCACTGACCCTTTAAAGCTGCTAAGATACTATATTATCCATAATTTAGTACTTTTCTCTGCACTTGTACCTGTCACCATGGCACCTGAATGGCCATTATTCTCAGCTCCTGATCCCCGCTCCAAGATTAGAAAAAGCAAGTTAGAAAGCCTGTTCAGGTGTCTTAATGAAACAGAATCAGGTCCTTCCAAGTTCTTATCAATCTGATCATGTAGATTTGCAGCTGTATATCCTAAGGCATTGAATCCGCCATGTCACACTGGCTATTTTTACCACAGCTAGGTAGCATAGTGGCTACGGCACTTGACTGCTAACCAGAAGGCTGGCGGTTCAAATCCACCAGCCACTCCTCGGAAGGAAGATGGGGCAATCTACTTCCGTAGTGATACTGCCTCGGAAACCCAAGGAGGGGTTGCTATGAGTCGGGTCTGACTTGACGGCAAACAACAACAAATGGATCAGAGTACTAAATAAAAAATGTGTACGAACCTGGCGAGGGCCATGGGATGATGCACTTTGCATCTTTAAGAAAGGCACCATTTGTGGTTACTATTTACAATGGGGATCTCCCAACTATGGCCCTTAGGCCAAAGCCAGCTCACCTCCTGTTTTTAATAAAGTTTTATTGGAACACAGTCACTTTTCTTTGTTTATGTACTGTAGTCGATGACTACTTTTGTAATGACAAGGGCAGAGCCGAGTAGTTGCAACATAGACCATAAGGTCCACAAAAAAAAAAAAAAAAAACCTAAAATACTTACTTTCTGGCCCATTTCAGAAAATTTTGCCAACCCTTGATCTGGAATATAAAGTGAGCCCGATTCTTTGAAGGGCTTATTTACCAAAGCCTGTTTTTTTTGTGGGCTTTTTTTTCCCCTAGACTAAAAAAGTATCATTGTATATGGTTTGAGTTTTTGGTAGAGGGAAGGATGAGAATAGCATAAAATTAAGTAGCCCTCAACAAAAGCAGTTAATGAGCTGTTCTTTTCCTAACAGTTTTAAAGGATGTGATGTCCCCTCAGATGCCAAGAGTGATTTCAATTTAATTTGCTCTTTACATGCCCTTGAATAAATAAATAAACATAGATATATATATTTTGCCAACTCAGTTTCTTGAACATCTTTCACCCCAGAGCTGAGATCCAAACAGGGCCACCAAGATTAGACAGGAAGCTGGGAAAAAGGTACTGGGACCCTGCAGCCAGGAAGAGGAACTAGGGAAAATCCTAGATAAAGATTTTTTAGCCATTTTGTTCTCACTAGATACATGCACATTGGGGAGAGCTTCTGGCAATCTTTTCACTGGGCTCAAATCCATTCTCAGTGGTCCGGAGTCGTCGTTTCCTATCTCATTAATAAAAATATTTTGAAACTTGTGGAATATAGAGATTAAACTATTTAAATCTCCCTAAGGCATTTGACTGCTAACCAGAAGGCTGGCGGTTCAAACCCACCAGTCACTCCTTGGAAGGAAGGCTGGGCAATCTACTTCTGTTCAGACACCGCCTCGGAAACCCAAGGACGGGTCACTGTGAGTCACAATCGACTCGACTCGGCAGTGAGTTTGGTTTTGGTTTTCAGTCTCTGAAAATACCTAGGCAGCTGTTAGTGGAAAAACCAATCAAGTGATTTGTCGTTGTTGTTGTGTTCTCAAAATAATGGATATTTTATTTTTTGTTTTGTTTTCATTTTTAAATTAGATTGGTTGTGTCATGTTAATCACAACTTAAAAACTACTCTTCAGATTCATGTTTGGAAACAAAGTAAAATAGAGTTCCATGCTCAAGATCCATGTGTCTAATGAATGCTGGTATTCTTTTGAAGTCTTTAAATATGTGTCGCTGTTTCTGGAAAACAGATATAAAGATAATTTCACAGTAATAGCAGTATTAGTAGTAGTAATATATACAATACTAATTGTATATATGGCAGCAACCAAAAGAGGTTAGTTATTGAATTACCATATACTCCTTTTAGTGGGGCTTATTATTTTATCTTTTTGCTATGTTAGAATAATATGAGTAGAGTCTCTAGATAGCACAAATAGTTAGGCATTCAACTACTGGCTGAAAGGTTGGAGGTCTGAACCCACCCAGAGGCACCTGGGAAGACAGGCCTGATCTGCTTCAGAAACGTCACAGCATTGAAAATCCTATGGGGCACAGTTCTGCTGTGCACACATGAGGTCATCATGAGTCCAAATGGATTAAATGGCAACTAACAACAATAGCAGAGTGATATGAGGACAACTGAGATGGACCCAGGTTTAACAGCAGGGAATGATTTTATAATCTGGTTGAAAGTTTGCATTTATAGAGAGAAATGAATCAAGATTTTATTAATTATTTTCCTCCAAAGTATACTTGATTTAAAAAAAAAGAAGAAGAAAAAGAATCCTGGGCTCGCTGTTAAAATAAAATACAATCTAATGCTTTTAGGTCAAGATATCATTTTAGCAGTTTATACTCTCACTTAGAAACTAAAATTGCTTTAAAGGAATTTCCAAATATCTGAACTTCTGATAATGTCAGAATCAAACCAGATAATTTGCGAATTCTTCTTTAATCTAAAGTAGATAGCACCCCACTGGAGAGTAAATAAAACTATCCCTCCTACCCTCAAACCTAGCTCAGACCCTATTTCAAAGCCTTTTCTTTCAACTGATAAAGTGTACCACTGAAGTTGTGTGAAATCATGGTCTCACTGTATCACTAAGCACAGGTGTTATGACAGAGAAAGTAAGGAGTTCTGATCTTAGGCAGTGTCACAGTCTTCTTATCTTCAGGGTCACAAGGTAAAAAGTCAAATGAGGCACTGGGATTCTTGAAGAGTCAAGTATCATTTTCTAACTGCATAGAATACATTCTGACTATGCCTATTTGATGTCACACTGTCTTAAGAAATACTTGATAAGGTGTTTCAGTTTTCATCCAGATGTCATGACCTTGTGTGTCTTATCATTAAAAAGCATAAATTTCTAATCTGTAATTACAGATTTTGAACCAAAAAAAGAATAATAATGGTGAATATCTCTTTTTTGGTTGTAATTTATTTAACTTTAGTCAAATAAAATAATCATTGCTGAACACAAGCACATGTTGAAACAAGTGTTTTGTTATTTTCTTTTAAATTATGTATAATGTTTAAAAGAAAAAATAGCAACTAAAAACAATATTGTAGTAGAGTTACATTGGTTGCTTTTCTTTGGAAACTCTCACAACTTGCTAGACCTTCTAATACTGAAAAATCACTGATATGAACTCTGGATGTTTTTTCTATAGGAGAGCATGAAAAACATAAAATTAGTAACTAGTACAAATAAATGGAATAAATATTTGCTTATTTATCTGCCTAGGCAAGTCAATGTAAAAGAATATAATATTTTGGGTTAAAAAGAACACATTTTAAAAAGTAGATTTGTGTGAATTTGGGCTCTTAATCCTCGTCTCTGTTTCATCTGTACAGTGTGGGAAACAGTATTACCGACCTCCCTTGATTTTTTTTGGTAGCCAGTGGAGTAATGTATGTGAAATGCCCTGAAAATTATTAAGAGGCTTAAAAAATGATAATTGTTACTTTTATAGTTCATCCATGCAGTAGATCAGATTGACTTGGTTTTTCTTAGGACCTTAACTGGGGCTGGAGATGTGGTCAGAGACGCGGTGGCAACAGTTTCTATCTGCTGGTCTAATTTGTTAGGTAGGTAATTCTGTCATACCATCAAAAAAATGGCCCTTTCATTTATACAAAGAATTTGCAATAAAACTGCTCCCAAATAATGGAAAACAACAACAACATAAAATGTTCAATAACATACTGCCTTGCCCACCTATAGGGCTGCTTTACAATCTTCCCTAGAAATCTGTTACTGGAAGCCCAAGCATGCACTGCTGATGACTCTTGCAATTTAAATATTACAAAGCAAAAAGAGAAAAAGAATAGTTAGTCTAGGAAGAAAATGAGGAGCTATGGTGGTGCAGTGGTTTGAACCCACCAGCTGCTCTGTGGGAAAAAGATAAGGCAGTCTGCTTCTGGAAAGATTTACGGACTTGAAAACCTTATGGAACAGTCCTGCTCTGTCTTATAGGGTTGCTATGAGTCAGAATCAACTCAATGGAAGTGGGTTTGGTTTGGTTTAAGAATATAGTAGTCCTACCCCTTTAACTGGGCAATCAGACCTTGCATGTGACTTGAAGACATCCAATCCTACAGACTTCATGTAATATTTAAAGTAAGGATGAAGAAATAATCTGTCTTGCTGTTTTTCTATGAAGTAATGTGCTATGATCAATCCAAAAAACTGAGTTAAGAAGTGGTTAAACTACTTCTAAAATCTGATTTTTGTGTCTAACAAATTGGCATTGTCAACATCCCAAACTCATTTGCCAAGAGGCCATCTACGCAATCATAGGATCGTAAAATGTGGGACCTTTTATAATTGTTATTTATCATTATTTTATAATTATTAGGTGTGCACTATCCGATCCTCTCATTCTAAAGTTAAGGAACGTGCAGCCAGAGAAAACGAGTAACT